GAAGTGAAAACTTTTGACAACCGTAATGTGCCTTAAAATGGTGCGAGTGAAATGAAAAGTTTTGTTTCTACAACGACCATTAAATCAATCAGTAGCTCATGTTTTGTTGAGTGAACTTTTTTCTTGTGAAAAATCAAGCTGTGGTCCTGGTTAAGGGTTCATTGTACGTCTTTTGATGACGTTTGCTTCGTCGTGTCGTCTACACTGGTACGCCATGGAGATGAAACCCTGTATTAAACAAGTTCTAATTCGTTCCTCAAACGAACATAAATTAAAGATTATCTTATCGCGACTATTCAAATAAGATTCCGGGTATGCATACCAAATTCTGTATGCTAATTTTATGCCTTGAATCAATTTCGACATAATTAAGATTTTATCTCGTGAAGTATATCTTATATATGCACACAATCAGCGACAAAGAAAACGGGGCGCGTCGGAAAGAAAAACGGTGATCGGGAGATCTATTTTACGGTCAAAAAGTTCGCTTTTCTGTAAAATGTTAACACTGCCGCTTCTTTTCTATATTCCACATTTTTATCTTTTCATGCTTTTATTGCATCTCTACGTATTAGTTAATTATTTTATAGACTATGAAAAACATGGTATTGTCATGGCGTTCATTCTTCTCTGCACATTTGCAAAACTTTGCGGAGTTTTAAAGGTTTGCATATCTTTGTAGTTTCAGGTTTGCCCTGCTAGAGTGACTTAGACTGCAACACGAAGACATTTGACTGCGTTGGAATAAACGGGATGGGATTGGACACTGCCTTATTGGACTTCCTGACGGTATGACAGCGGAGTTACAAATCACACACACGCACACGCACACACGCACACGCACACACACACACGTGGACAGACGTATTCGTACAGAACTTAGCTATTTGCAAGGTGCGCGTGAAGAGTATTACGCACTTCTTTGGCGACCACAAACATCACTTTTTTACATAAATGTAGAGATAGATGTTGATCTCTTTGTAACGTACTGGATAATAATAATGGTTCACTTTAGTCCGCACAAAATTGATAAGTTGGTCGAATTATGAGTCTTTATCCTTTACAATTCCTGGCACTGTTGTGAAAATATCTACTACTTGGTTTCTACGCCTTCGCATATTCACAGTTGGGTTATCAGACTTGAACATTTACAATTTAGTCTGTAAACATGTTTTTAACCTAGAATCCAAGTTTTAACAAAGACTAAACGGTTCTAATAAGGGCAATTGACAAGTTGGTAAAACAACGGGCGACAACTTTCTGTAAATAGGATCGGTAGACAATGAAGTGGGGATAGCAGCTTGATTTTAAGGTACATACGAACCGAGCATCGGTGGAGTGTGGATTCCTNGCAGTCAGTGTGTTGTATCTTATCTTGCAGTCAACGAACCCCTTGAAGCAGTTGTAGAAGACCTTGGAACCCGATTAATGGCGTCTCTATCTAGGAAAAAGAGAAGCGAAACCGAAAGTGCTGTCGGCTCGGAGTTCTCGTCCGTTGATGACACCAAATCGAGGCAAAAACGTGCACCGGCAACTGTGGCATGCTCACCCAATCTCCTTGTATGGGCTAATGTATTATCCTTTATCGTGGGAAGCCAGACAAGTCCGTTCCAGTTTAACTGTGGACTTCCACCATAAAAAGTTTGAAAAGCCCAAATTGATGGCCGCCAGAACATCAAAGAAAGTTTAAAAAAAAATGCAGTAAAATCCAATCGAGGTTCAAGTCTATCGATTGGTCCAGCTTTTTTGATATGTTTGTCTTGCTGGCAGGAAAGTTAATATTTTATGTCACACTTGCAATCAGACAGGAAAATTTTAATTTTAAGTAAAATAAAACTGAATAAAAAAAGAAAAGAAAGCGCAGGCATTCTTGTCCCTGAGCTCGACTCTTCTTCTTAACTTTGTACCTTTTCGCTGATTTAAAAAAGTTCGTTATCCGGACCGTTTCAGGGTCTTGTGGTGTGGGTGTGGGTGTCTTTTACTTCTAGGGCCGTCACGTATCGTAGAACTCGTCGCTGATCCAGGGTCGCAGTGTTGAAGACCTTGACGCTGAAAGAGACCCTTGACACCAAAACCCATCCAAAAGATTGCAATAAGGACACAGCAAAAATGTGCAAATGAGGAAATGTGATTTTTATGTTAAGCCGCAAATAATGTTAACAAGACAAACAAAGTCGCGTGAATAATAAAAGATGGGTAATTTCTTAAGTAATTGTTCTATGTGTATGTAAAGTCTTCTGAACATGTAATTTTGGAATTTAGACTCAAAATAAATTTATTTTTACCTGTGCCAAGGAGGTTATGTTTTTACCCCTGCTTGTTTGTTTGTTTGTTTGTCTGTCTGTTTGTCAGCAACATAAATCAAAAAGATATGGGTGAATTTTGATGGTATTTTCAGTGTAGGTTAGAAATGGGTTAATGAAGAAGTGATTAGTTTTTGGCGGTGATCTGGATCAATGATCAATCAATAATCAAAAATAAAAAATAATAAAAAACTAAGTTATGGACCGATTTTGATGAAATATTACGGAACTGTCGGAAGTGGGCCTAGGAACAGATGATTAGTTTTTGGTGGTGATCCGGATCAATAATCAATCAATAATGTACAGTACATGCAATTTTAGTTTTAGCCATAATAATTGTGATTGGAAATGCAAAATAATTTTTTAACCAACACAAAAACCCAAAATAATTCCTTATCAGCAATATATGATGGAAAGAGACACGATTTTTTTGCATGTGCATGTGAAGTGTGTGTGCGTGCACGTGCATGTGAAGTGTGTGCACGTGCACGTGCCATAAAAGAAATGTTCCAGTACGCTCATTTTCTTTCGAAAATACAGAAAAATAATGAGCATTAACATTTTTAGTTATTATCAATGTTATTTCTATTACGAAATAAATCATTTAACATTCATTATTATTGTAATAAGACTGAACGTGAATTCCAAGGAAGTTTATAAAGGATATACAGTGATACCTTTAGCAAATAGATTTATAAATACTGATCAAAATTAAGTCATATTCTTGTTTAATTTGGCCTCGGCCTATGACCGCGGCAAGTAGATGGTACAAAATAAATGCAGGGGATTTATTTTGCGGTATGAAATCATTTTCAGAATGAACCAGTAGCAAGAAAACAGCTATAATTGTCATCATCATGTGCATTATATTGTTAAAAATTGGCCCTGCCTTTTAAAAGTGAGGTGGTTGTTTTTTTTCTTGACATTAGGTAATGTAACGCTTTGAACAAAATATCGAAGACAAAAGATTGCTAGTCACGAGTTGGTTAGTCATATATCAAGCTGACAAAAGCGATTAGCATGTTAAGGGATAAGGAATATTCACATCTATATGCTGATTGAATTGTGATAAATATAGAGCACATTCTTGGTAGACAGTAATAAAGGACTATCTCCGAACTGCAATTAGCATTAACAAAATGTTTCCTGAACTGGAAAATATGATAAAAATACCAAACAAAATCTACGTAGTTTTAGTTTTATTCTTCCTGCAACCAGACTCATTAAATGTTCACGGCTTAATGGCCACACTTAAATTAAGCAACATTACTAGAAAAACATGAATTTACCAAAACAGTGATATCTTTAGTACCGTTTAGTTTTCGATTTGTTGATGGACTTTTTTTTACACGCAACGTAAGTTATTATTTTTTAAATTTCTTTTTATTATTGTCAGATCAGAATTCTGCGGTGAGACATGGCTTTGACAACTTTTCCACCCTTTGTAGGTAAGTTCAGCGGGGTAGCAAAAAGTTATTCATTCTACAATCCATCATTACTCGTATATAATTCCATATAGAGAAGTGTGAACTATTGACAACCATATTGTGTCTTGAAATGGTGGGACTGTAATGAAAAGATTTGTTTCTACAACGACCATTAAATCAATCAGTAGTTCATGTTTTGTTGAGTGAGCTTTTTTTCGTGGAGACATCTTATAGGGTCGACTTTGATCTGACTTTATCTCTTGTAGCAAGTTGCAGATGTTAATTGTGAGAACCGACAGTAATCAATTGTCACGTAAATAGAATATGTGCACGGTATGACAGCGGAGTTACAAATCACACACACGCACACGCACACACGCACACGCACACACGTGGACAGACGTATTCGTACAGAACTTAGCTATTTGCAAGGTGCGCGTGAAGAGTATTACGCACTTCTTTGGCGACCACAAACATCACTTTTTTACATAAATGTAGAGATAGATGTTGATCTCTTTGTAACGTATTGGATAATAATAATGGTTCACTTTAGTCCGCACAAAATTGATAAGTTGGTCGAATTATGAGTCTTTATCCTTTACAATTCCTGGCACTGTTGTGAAAATATCTACTTGGTTTCTACGCCTTCGCATATTCACAGTTGGGTTATCAGTCTTGAACATTTACAATTTAGTCTGTAAACATGTTTTTAACCTAGAATCCAAGTTTTAACAAAGACTAAACGGTTCTAATAAGGGCAATTGACAAGTTGGGTAAAATTAAACAATGCCTTTTGGTAATTCTCTTAGTTATACTACTTGTAACTATATGCTGGCATTTGGTTGGTTTTTGTGACAAAAAATTGACTTTGTATGCATCTTTAAGGGTTGTTCGTTTTTTAAGGAGTGTGAGTTGGGAGGTGGGGGAGAAATCAGGGTAAGAAAAATTGAAGTAGTTAAATAACATTTAAATTCTTCTCGAAGGTCAGTTTTGAATTTCTCATTTGTCAATGACCGATTTGCTAAAAATGCTCTCTTCAAATCTGTGGTCGATCGAGCTTCCTAAGTAACTTAACAGGAAGATCAGTAGCCTTAGAGCAAATAGAGAAATGCTGATAGACTCGCAACACACCATCACCTTACAATTTAGCAGTTTATTATCAATACAGTCCACCTCCTTTGCCTATCCTTTATCCCTTATTAACACGTACACAATCTCTTTGCCTTTTTCATCGTCAACAGAAGTTTCAATTACGCTCTTCTTCTTTCAGCCTATCGTGTTGTTTCTGTGTCAGCTGGCGCTGGAATACAACTTCCAAGTCCCGATTTGGGCGTGTACGGAAAGCCAGTGCAATCTCGTGGGGACTGGAACGCCGTCGATAATTCCTGTGACCGTGGCGGTGCCGGAGGCGGAGCAGGAGAGACGAAAACGGGAAGGTACGAGTCACGATACTCGAGTACCCCGATAGTAAGGGTACGCTCACAGTGAAACTCTCGTACTAGGCAGTCCCAAGTACGTCTGCAGGAACTCTCGCTGAATGCAATCAGTTCAACAGATAAACAGATACCTTTTGTTTTCAAAGTACTCGTATAATCACCAGGTTTTCCGCATTCTCTCAACACCAGGATTAATCTGATTGCATTCAACGACAGTTCCCGCGGAGTTAAAACGAACTACCTAGAATGATAGTTTCATTGTGAACGAACCCTAATACTACTTATCTTTGACAATGTCTTTAAGAGAGCTATATCGTACACAAAACGAATTTACCTCTTCCGATTTTCCGAATCGGTGTTACAATTGCCATTATAGGTGTTTGTATCTTTACGCATTTGTGCTACTAGTATTTAACCTAGTATTGTCTGATACAGATAGATTCGCTGAATAGCATTTTTTAATTATCAATGACATGATCGATGAGCAAGCTTAAACGAAATAGTGGACTTTGTTTTTTTTTGCACAATCGAATGTAAAAACACTCGCACTGAGAACATATGCAGTAGGTGAGTAAAATACGTCTTACTGCAAAAAGTTTGTTGGACATTATGGAAAAGTGTGTGTGTGTGTGTGTGTGTGTGTGTGAGGGGGGTGACAAACTATTTTCACCTCTTGTTTATATCCACTGTATATTCTGCATCCACCGGTAAAGCGTGTTCTTGCTGTCATAGCCACGCAGTCAGTGTGTTGTATCTTATCTTGCAGTCAACGAAGCACATGGAGCAGTTGAAGAAGACCTCGGAACCCGAATTATGGCGTCTCTATCTAGGAAAACGAGAAGCGAAACCGAAAGTGTTGTTGGCTCGGAGTTCTCCGTGGATGAGACCAAATCGAGGCAAAAACGTGCCCCCCTACCTGTGGCATGCTCACCCAATCTCCTTGTGTGGGATAAAGTATTATCCTTTTTCTTGGGAAGCCAGACAAGTCCGTTCCAATATAACTGTGATCCTGTGGTTGTGTCAAAATGATGGAAGTAAAAAAAAAAAAAAAAAAAAAAAAAAAAAAATACGGGTAAATCAAGCCTATTGATCGGCCCAGCTTATTCGATATGTTTGTCTTGCTGGCAGGAAAGTTGATATTTTGTGTCATGCTTGCAATCAAGCAGCATAAAGATAGCAAGTTCCTTTTAATTTAGAAGAAAATGTTTTGCGCACATTCCGGTGGAAGTATATCATTTTAAATAAGAAACGCTTTATTGTCAAGTTATTGATTGTAATGATCTATGTATTTATTAGAAAATACTTCGTGTAAATAAACGATGGCATATGGGTCGGATCATAAGTGTTGGCTTATTATAACAGGAGCGGATCCAGAGCTATTTACTGACAGTCTTCCAAATTATCTTTGTTGATTCATCCTTCAATTTTGACCGTCTTCCAACATGAAAAATTGGAAACCCGTCAATGTAAACTTGAAAATCTGACCGTCTTCCGGAAGACCCAGAAGACGGCCTAAATCCGCCCCTGTATAACACGATCATATTGTGGTAGGAATAAGGGGGTTCCAGGAACCCTAGTTCGTTTCTTATTACTTTATACAGGTGATATTTGCCCCTCCCCCTCCAAACTCAACCCTTTACTTTAGGCTGACCCTACCTGTATCCTAATCATATGGGACTCCGAACTTCGTCTCAAATGAATTACAATTTTTGTCATTCCGGGCTCCACAAAAACAGTACATCAACAATGTCTGTTGTATTAGTTAAAGGGAAAACAACTGTTCGTAAATATCCATATTTCATAATACATTGCAAACAACTCATAGAAATATAATAAATTCTATTTTACCACCAAAACGGCAGTTAACGCATTTATTCAGGAGTTTGTGCTTGCCATCACATCACGTGACCTCCATAGATAGCTACACTGTGTAATAATCTCTTAAGAGGAAAATTCCTTTTTTGGCCAAAAAGAACAGTTATTATTATACCTTTAAATAATACATTTATGTATACGGATGTTGGTTATTCTAAAGAAAGTGTGTATCGATTTATCGTTAACAGCTGTAACAAATCCTATACAATGTTGAAGCAACCATGTGTATGGAAATACTACATGGTTACAATGAATGAGAGACGCATCGATCAAGGAATGAATGGGAAGCGGGCTCACTATCATGGGGGACTCTCTGTCACGTTACACTTCGGGTGTAACAGAAAGTCCGCCCTCCATTTAGTTCATAATAGTTAGGGTTAACCTGACCTAAGTGCGTCAAAATCTAGGACAAGGCTAGCCTATGCAAATGAATGGGAAGCGGACTCTCTCTCATGGGGGACTTTCTGTTACGTTACACCAGTGCAATGGCAGGGCTCCATATCATAAAGCCTGTTGCATGCGCTACGTCATTTTTTTTCTGCAATGAACTTTCCAAAATGTGTACTTCAAATTATTTAATCTCTAGTTTGTCTTAATAAAATTTTCTTCGAAATTTAGATACAATTGTATCAATAAATTGCTTTGGATGTTTTTTTAGTTCCTGTACGTATACAGATTTGTTATTTAATGCGTAGAATTGAAAATAATTCTCATTGTTCACGTATTTGCATTATAATTAGTGAAATTAGAGAAATGGCGACATATTTCTATAGATCAGTTTGGTTCGAAGTGATAATTCTCATAACGTTAATTACAGAGATCAATTAGACAACAACACATGATTCATTTCATGTTTATTTTCATTGGGTACTTTCTTCATATCCCAGTACAATTATAGCTACATATATGATACACATACCGGTATACTAATTTTCTCGCTAATCATATAACCGCTACAGACAGACCATACCTTTATCACCGAAGTGGTATTTCTAGTCATTTGACGGCTTCATTTAATAAGCAGTGCTCGTGCTACGTGGTTAGCCTTTTTAACCGTTAGAAACAAATCTACCAACACGCACAACAAAACGCAAGTTATAGACCTTAACATAGCAATTTCCTTCTCAGGAGTTTTTACTCTATCACCCAGGTTTAAATAAAACAGTGGAAAAGAGAGCACGAAGTTGGCTGACATTCGTGTAGAACGCATAAGCCAATAGGACAGAACAGTGGGAATTAACTACAAAGAGCTAGCTCATTAAAAGTTCGAAAGAAGCAGAATTGCCAGTAATTTTCGAATGACACCAAAAGTTCCGAGGTGAGCTTCCATAAATGTGGCACGACCCACTTGAAGGCGTGCCGAGCTTTAATTGCTCTGCCCCGCTGGAACGCACACGTGGGAGGCGGGAATCCATTGTCAAGCGTGCGCCATATTTGATCCGCAGTCTAGTTAGCCCGCGGATCAACTTGTTTGTGAATGCAGCCAAAGATGACCAGCAAATAGATGCAACGATTCTGTGTACTGTCACTGTAAGTTCTGGAGTATCAAAGAGGGTTGAGGATGGGGCAGATTTCAAAAATACTAAAACACATGGCAGCTGAAAGCTAAGTTGATACGTGCACATAAACATCAAGGAAACGCATCTATTCCCGATCAAAACACTAGGTTTAACATTTAACGAATAAGGAATACAATTAAGGTATAACAAGTTATATAAGTAGCACTAATGCATACTGGTACACACATGGTTCGAATTCCAATGTTCCTCTAAAACTGAGGTATATCCTGCCTTGACATCATTTATATCATGCATATTCTGTGTATGAAATACTAGTACACCATCGTTATACCACATTCAATGAGGAGGTCCTCTTTTAACTGCTATAATAAAGTGAAATGCAACATTTGCCCAGAATAGCTGCCAAAACATTAACATAACGAAATCAAGACAATCGCAAACGGCGATTTATAAATAAATAAATAAATAAATAAATAGATCACTGGAATTCCTCCTTTTCTGTGTAAATAATACACTATCGTAATACCACATTTAACAAAAAGGTCCGCTTAAAACTAGTATATTGAAATGAAATGCAATATTTGCCCAGAATAGCTGCCTTTACATAAACATAACGAAATAAAAACAATCGGAAACGTTCGGTAAAGAAAAAATAAATAGATAATCATCATAGTTAAAATGTCTCTATGTAATCATCCTTTCTCGACATCTCAGACACTTTTTCCACCCTATTTAATTGTCAGTTTATTCATATGATGAAAGACTTCGACCCTATAGCGCACAGGGCGGGTGTTATCAAATGCATAAATATGGTCGTGTTAGCAACATCATTATTTTTAACTGAAACAGTCCAACTGCCGTCACACCAAGCGCCTTACGTGTCTTTTATTCGCACGTAAACCAATTAAGTCTTCTTTTTAATAAAGATTTAAGCAACTTAGACATTTCATTTGAAGGATTCCGCGGTCTCTCTCCCCTCCTCTCTCTCACTCTAATGTGTGTGTGTGTGTGTGTGTGTGTGTGTGTGTGTGCGCGCGCGTGTGTAAATACTGGCTCCTGGCTCTATGTGCTTGGGGTCTCTAGGAGGAAATCCCGGCGTTCTACCAGCCACACCCCGCCTTCCTCCCCCATCGCACTGTCAAGGTTGTTACGGCTGAGCAGAGCGTTCTCGAAGCTTTCCAGAGGATTGAGCGAGCCCTGGAAAATAGAAAGGCAGTAAACGTTACTTAACATTTTGAGCATATTGTACATGTACGATTATTTCATTAAAATGCAAACAGTGAAAAAAAAATTAAAAATTGCCTTTGATTCTGAACTGTCATTTTATTTCTGCCGGGCCGTCTGGATAAGATAAGTTCATCACAAATCTTTCAGGTTCTACATATCTTTACATCTTTCTGCACAGCGTGCTATTTTGTGAGGAGTGGTTTTTTTTTAAGAACAGAAAGGGCCGCAATGGGGCATTTCGAATAAGGCCGATTCAAGATCACTGGACATACAACATGGGGCTGTTTTAGGGGCCATTCAGAATGTGCTTGGTCGACCTAACTCTACGGGGACTCTCGCTGAATGCAATCAGAATAACAGACCACCTTCCTGGCGCTGAGAAGAATACATCTAAGATGGTGAGTATATGAATATGTCGGAAACAACAGGAGTGTCAGTCTGTTAATCTGATTGCATTCAGCGAGAGTATCGGTGGAGTTAGTGCGAATTAGCTAGGTCAACATAACACATTGTGAACGGCCCTTGAGTCAGCATTGTACGTACTCGAACTGGGTCCGATCCTCGGCATTTCTCGTAATCTAGCGTTACCCCTTCCTGTAGAAGCGGGGAATAATCGGCCTGCTTTCTTGTCGCAAATAACAACAGAACATCTCTCCCACACTGGGGTTCTTCTTGGTCGGGATCCGGGGCGACAAAATTGCGCAGAGCGCCTTCCGGTATGTACAGTCTGAAGATTTCTTCGTCCGTTTTTCCCGGGCCTATTTCGATTGTTCTTCCCTGTTTTGTTAAAAAGAAGAGAAAATTAATCAGATAGTCCTTGCTTTTTAATTTTTTAAAAATTCCTTCAAAGACCACAGCGAAATTCATTTATGTTTTTATCCAACAGCTTTAAGTACACTCAAAGTGTTCTGTATAAAAATTATAGTCCAAGGGCACTGCCGGAACACCATTCTCCGGCATTTTCTTTTTGTCGCTGAAGAAAGGTAGCGTGTGCCCCTCTCAGGAAAGACTCAAAAATATATACAAACATCATTAAAGTATTTCATATTATTCTCAAACTGAAGTCTCTTCTGTTTACGACAAAAAAGCATATACATGTAACTTTAACAACATATTTTGTATATTCTGTAAAAAAATCGGGTATCTTCTGTCAAAGTTAAATAAATAAATAAATAAATAAATAAATAAATGGATCGCGGTGAACTTGCCTCTCTGTTAGGCAGGAATGGGTCACTGATTGAGCCGTCCACGCCAAAGAGTAAAACACACACGTGGATAGGGAAATCTTCGTGGTTTTCAACCTGGAAAACAATGGCGTCTCCCGACCCGGGTGTGACCTCTTTCACATTCCCCTTTGCATCGTAAGCTACCTTGTGGGCCTTCAGTCTAGGAGGTTCGGCACATACGCCTTTAATGTAAAATTCACAATACATTAAAATCAAGGTAATACAAATAAAAATGAATCAAAAATAATAACAGTGCGCAATCTTGCATAAGATCAGGTCCCAGTTTCACAAACACACACACTCAAAAAAAAAAAAAAAAAAAAAAAAAATTAAGTCTGTTCCATGGCTTAGTTAACTAGGGTCAACATTAGAGTGCTGTAACATTGTTCCTGATAGGGTAAGATGTGCACATGTAACCATGTAACGTTGGTAATTAAATTCTTAACCGGGGAACCCCTGACTTAAGTGTTGTTATTTTTTTTTTGTTGTTTGTTTGTTTTTTGTGAAACCGGGGGCAAACTGTTATTTCCTTGTTATACCCATATCATATTCATTATTGACTATAGAAGGCAGAGAACAAAATAAGTTTAATCTGGATGATAACTGACAACAATACTAAAATCTTGTGATGAAAATACAGTAATAAAAATGTATTATCTTGGCATAGTTACAAATTGTAAAGCTAAAAGGATTTTTTTAATCACGCAAGAAACGATATAAAACTGTGACTATACAATAGGAGCAATAAAAAACAAAACTGGTCCAGGACCAATAACAAAAAACTGAGATGTAAACCCCTTAAGCCCCCTTTACACTGGACGGCGTCCTTTCTGCGTCCCGCAGTACGACTCAGTTTGAGAGTAAAAGAAATTAATACTTAACGTGCCGACAACTGGCCGGTCATTGAGCTTTTACTCTGCAACCAAGGCGATGCTTGTCCCTACTTTCTACGACCACAGTGATGCCAGTTTCGTGGTGTCACAAAGGACGCAGAAAGGACGGCGTCCAGTGTAAAGGGAATTTCAATAAAAGTCGAGGACAATCGAAGGATCCGGTTTTACCTTGATAAAGCTCAGGCTCTTCAGTCAAAGCTCGCTGAATCTTAGCCGTCTTGTCAGCGGCCCGGTACGGGGTCACACTGGAGATTCTCTTGCAGTGGAAACGCACGTTCAGCATCATACCGCCGTTGCTGTGGTGCTGCTTCAGCGCCATCTCGTACCGGCACACCTTAGCCAGGTTCACGGCAAGGACCGTTCCTGACGTGGTCTCGTCAGCGCTGACGGGAGGAATTAATGACTTGCCAGAACGCCGGGTGAACCAGTGGGGTGAGCTGAATGTTTATTATCAAATGTAAACATTAGTACAGATTCTTAAAAAAAAAAAAAAATGTACAAGCACAATGGAGACTGGAGGAATTACTCCAAACTTGGACATATTATGTCGATGCTCCAAATAACAAAACTTTACAAAATTATTTATAAAATTCTAAAACCTCGATTACGACAATTAAACTGCAAATGTCTTGCACATTTGAGGAGAAAATCAGAGAGAGAGAGAGAGAGAGAGAGAGAGAGAGAGAGAGAGAGAGGTGGACTTACCCCTTATAGTCCTCTTTGGTTATAACAATGAGGTCTGCAAATTTGTTCGTTTTTGTCTCTTTCTTGTCTTCATATGGTCGCATTTTAAACAGTTTCTGCGCCTCTAGATGCGTCTTTATATCCTTCGATTCGTCGTCTCCTGCTCTGATGGTCACGTGATACCGCGGGTGGCTACCCTTGTGGAGAACACACAAGCAGGACCTCTGTGAAAAAATACCGCATTTCCATTTGATTTGTATTGATCATTAAATGCATGTTAATTCTGAACATTATGACGATAAGTTCGATAAAAATAGCATTGTGGGGATAAATCTTATACCCAAAGACGTCGAACACGCATTTGCGACCCAACCCTTCTTATGAAGTAAACCAAAACGAAAAATAAGACACAGTTCAAGATACATTTCAACCGAAGCCATGGCCCATTCATAGTGAAAAAGATTTTCAAATATGAAAAAAAGTATGGACTTTAATTTCATGCTTTATGTTCTGATGAGGGCGTTTGATACACTGGAGCCCAAAAGGTTTGCGCACCATTCCATATTTGTAAATTTCGCATAAATCAGAACTACTTCGTATATTTTAGTTTTTGCTTTAAAAACGACAATCAAAAAGTGTATCGACTGCTTAGGACAACAGCGTAGCTAGATATGGTTTACCTCCAAGCCTTATCTCTACTGTAATAGTACATCTACCGGTAAGACCTACCCAAGCATTCAAGTATATCCCAAACAAAGTCTACAAGGCAGCAATGTATAGATATAATACCATTACTATATGATTAGTTAATCTATAAATATTCAGATTACATCACATCAGTCCTCACCTCAATGGGTTTATGCTCAGAGCGCTCTATAACGTATCCCCTAGTCGTGTCCAAGTCTATATCGTAATCACTGATATCAACACGTCCGCACCAGAGCGGGCTCTCTTTCTCAAGTTTTGTGGCCACGTCCAGGTTTGTAGTTGGTGCAAATATATCGTACTGTCCACTGTGTAGGAGCTGTAACTGACCAGCGCCTATGGTCACTCTGTCGTCGATGACGGACATCACTTCGTAGCATTGGGTAGGTGACTGGTCAACTGGCGGGAAGAGAGAACGATATTATAAATTATCTTTTCAAAAATAAAGTAGTATTGTTTTCTTCAATCAACAGCTAATGTTGAAATTGTTAACCTCCAATATTTCTATGGCTGGGTACCCATACCTAGATCGATCTAACAGGTTCGATCCATCTCCAAGGGGTTTCTCGCTAAATTGCTTGCAGCTTCAGCAGCTTAGATAACTGAGACGCCTACTGAAGCTGCTAAATGATAATCAATTACCCCCTTGCAGCTTCAGTAGGCGTGACAGACATCTAAACCGCTTAAGTTGATTGCAATTTAGCGAGAATCCCCTTGGAGATAGATCGATCTACAGTTAGTACGATAGGGTCTGGGAATGGTCCCTATGTTTGTCTAGAACGTCTTCAGCAGGGAATGAGGCTACCCAGGTGAATACCCTCCATCCAGAATATACACCCCATTTACTGCTTTAATAAAAGGCAGGTATAATAGAGTGATTTATTGGTACAGAATGAAAATATGTCTCTTACCGTGCGTTTTCCCAAAGAGCGTCATGTTCCCAGCGCCCTCTAGCTGTGGCGTTTGATTGGCTCGGTTTGTTCGCTCCAGCTCGCGTAAGACGAGTCTAAAATATTATTCATATTTATATCAAAAGGGACTTATTAAGACGAGATATCTTAAACCAGTAATATATGAGAAATTCATAACAGTTACATGAGTAACAAAGATTTTCTTCATCTGACATGTTTAAGAAAATGTCCATACACAAAACCTTATACCTGAACCGGTAGATACAAAAAGAACGATAATGAACAGGGCACTCCATTTCAACAAAACCATAACATCATAATCTTAATCAAATGTCACAGAAATAAGCAGATACTTCGTAAAAGTTAATGCAAAGACGATATCGAGTGCCATTATTTGGAAGGCAAATTTTTTAGGTACAAATTGTAAAATCTGCCCTATACTACCTGTACAAAGTCTTCATCGTGAGCTCCTCCGGTCGTTTCACCTCCTTAATCACGCGTCGCATACAACTCGTTAAGAGACCGTGATTCAGCCCGTCCGCTCTGTCTTTCACTTCATACGCCACCTCCAGGTGAGACGCTGCCGCCAAGTGGACAAAGTGACTGGCCTTTGAGGGGGACCAGCCCTTCGGACTAATGCGCTTGACCGGGGCGTCGTTTCCCCGATATTTAGGGGCGGTATCCTCCTCGGCGTCGGGGTTGGCGTTTGCCTTGGCCGCTGCCATGAGGTCGTCAAATGTTATCTGTGTTGTGAGAGGAAAGAAAGTTTGAAATATGCGCAAATTAAGAGAGAAATAGAGAGACAATGGAAACGCCATCTTCAATTGTTGATCTGTCTCACTGGCATTCGTCCCTATATACAATTCAATATAACATTTCAGTGAAAATAATTCTAAACCATAAAAATACGAATAAATAAGATGGTGCAAGGTAGAGAGAAACCCAGAATTTCGCTGCTAGTCACGTAGTAACGGTAACGAACTGCTGAATTTTTAAATTCATTTTAATGAATTTATATTAAAATATAAAAATATAAAAAGTCATCATTTTCAAATTTCTAATGTTAAAATGAAAAGAGGCAATTATCTAGATATCTAGATTTACAGATATTCATTTAACAGATGCTGCATGTTAAAATCTCACCTGTCTTTCACCAACAGGCTGAAATGGACTATCGCCGTGATCGAACCCTCGGTAAATCCTCCCAGAGTGGCAGCAGTCAAACACCATGAAAACGTACACATTCCGCTCCGACAACGCGTTCAGGAACGGTCTCAGGTCGTCCCCAGTGATGACGAATTTCTCCGGGGAGTTTTGAAGACCCTAAAAATATAAAGAAAAGTTACAAAGTCTCTCTCTCTCTCCCTCTCTCTCTCTCTCTCCTTCACACACACGCACGTGGTCATTGTGTGGTGCTCTTTCAGTAGCATTTTATTTGACAACTGACCGAGTTTCACTTATTTTGCCCTAAATGAACCGTTTGCCCTCTCTCTCTCTCTCTCTCTCTCTCTCTCTCTCTCTCAGGCTATATATATATACTTTGGTATACAGAGACAAAGATGTTGGATTTCTTTAAAAATTATCTGCGCCTTTCCAATTTTCATTTCGTAATAAACAAATAATACACCTACATCCACTGTGGGAACATCCGCCGTAACCAAGCCCTCATCCCACTCGCCCTCTACTTGCATCCCGTGTCCAGCGTAGAAGAGGAAAAACACGCTACGTGGCTGAATATTCTGCACTATATCGTGCATCGACTGAAGGATATTTTCTTTGGTGGCTGCATGCTTCTCTAATATCTGAAGATATAGCGTTGGTTTTATAGATTAACACCGTCGAGAAATTTGGAGGTCATGAGATTTTCAATGTCAACAATTTTAACTGTTTAAATTGAACTTAGCTTAAAATTGAAAAACTGAAAGTTTTTCAGACGGCATACATGCATACTGCTTCTCATCCTTTTCTGCTAAGTTTAAAGCTGAAAGCATCTTGTTATACGTTACGCTTCCCTTTTTAACCACACACAAAAACAAAATATTAAAAGGCTATTCATAAACCAATAGATAAGTCAGAATACGTACATGAATCTTTCTAAAGTTGAACGGGGGCTGCTGTATGATCTCTCTGATAGTATTGATGTCATTCTCTACTCCAGGCAGCTGCTTGTTCACCGGAAGGAAGGGATAAGTCGGCCCTATCAGCAGCGCAGTGCCTGAAAAAAATAAATAAATAAATAAATAAAAATAAAAAATTAGGGTGCAATTAGCCCAAGCCACTATTGCGTCACATGACCTAGATTTCTCGTTTCAAGGATATAAAAAGACGATATAATCATAATATTACAAAGGTTTATCTATTTAATTTAATTTAATTGTATTTTGAGGTTAGTACTTTAATGTTCCCTAGACAAATGGCGCTTTAAGTCTCTGGCCCCGATTTCACAGGAAAAAAAAAAAAAAAAACGTAAGTCAGGTTCCCTGGTTAAGAACTTTTAAAATTACCAACGTTACATTGTCACATCTTACCCTATCAGGATCAATGTAACAGCACTCTCAAGGAAATCCTAGTCAAGTAAACCAGGAAAATGACCTTTTTTATTTTATTTTATTTCTTTTTTTTTTTGTGCAACTGGGGCTTCGCCGCGTGAAGAAGAAAAATAGTCACGTTTTAAAGGTTTGATTAATAAAAATCTACTTACGCCGTACGTCCGGTGGCCGTCGTTCACTTTGGTTTATGGCCTGCATTAGGAGTTGCTAAAAAACGACACGAAAAAAAGAAAGGTGATTAAAAAGGAAAGAAAGACAAAAAATAAAGATAATTTAATTTTTAGGGGATAATCAACATTCTTAGGCCCACTTGATACATAATGATACCTGCAGCTGAGCCATCATTCAGGTGCATAGGACTCAAAGCATGAAACTAAAATTATGCCATCGCGGCAAAACCTGATGTACATTGGTAGACTTTCGCTGAGAAATCCCCCTCAAATATTCTGCCATACCCAGGGGGGGGGGGGGGGTAGGGGGAGGCACAGCCTGTCTCACATTTGGGAGGGTGTAATAGTGAACAGTTCAATGCTGATAGGTCTTCGAGTACAATAACGTCTTGTACACATATCAGATTTGGGACATCAAGTGTGTAGTAGGGAGGAAGCAGTGAGAAAGGAATTTGGGGGGGGGGGGGGGGAAGTTTACATCGGCCTTGCCATTGCGAAGAAAACGAAACGTGAACCTGTCACCGACCCCGTAGACTTTATAGTCTACTTGAGAGTATGTTTCCTTCATTTGGGAAAGGAACTGGCGGAAGTGTATGTGTGTGTGGGTTCGTGCGTGTGACTTGTATGTTTGTGCGTTTGTGTGTATGTGTGTGTTTTTATTTAATTTTAGGTAGGTGGCTTAAGAACAACACTTGAAGTCCACCAATATCCTCAACAAAAATCTAAGTTAACAACTGCCGATAGTTTATACAGTATACAGCACTTCCATCATTTCTACGATCATGATTATGTCACCTTCATCAGCAATTAAAATGAGTCTATGTCAACAGCGTATATAATTTCTACAATAAACTGTGACGTCCACCGCTCGCACCAAACTCTGAACTGAGTCCCTCACATACGTTTACTGAGAAGCTCAGAGAGTTAAATATAGATTCATTTTAAAGGGCTCATTCCCATTGAACCATCGGTCTACGTACATCGATGGCTTGGTAGGCAAACTCGATGAAATCAAAGATCAAAATAACCATTAAATGAGGCCATTACGAACCTGAACTTACCACGAAACGCCCGCACATAGAGCTGTATATAAACAGTGCTTCTCCCTCCACTTGATACAAGGAAGTGAGGTTAAGTTCCGTCAAAAAATACGCAGGGAATTTTATCAGCAATCCGTGTGTCAGAAGGGGATTCCCCTGTTGATTGCTATAAATATCGTGCGTAGATCATCTGACTTCTTTATTTTTATCTTATATAGGGATATTCTATAGCTATTATCTTGTCTTTGAAATATATAACAACCAGAAAGACAGGCTCTGTAAGTTTCTTTTTCATATGATCCATTAAACATATGTCATTTTCATGTTTAACAAAACGATCAAAGCTAGGGCATTCTAACAACCAGAGACACTACGACACTGACTCAAGAAATTTCCCCACCTACTTAAGGACTTACGAAAAACTTCCGCATCCAAAAATAACATTATAGGGATTTCCACCGTTTGATATTGATGTATTTATAACCTGTGGGAATTCCCAGACATCAGAAATATCAGGAATACAATATATGTGTAAAAAAAAAACCTGAAATGATTCACTTATTCGCCCACAGAGTGAGGGTGTTTCTTATTAATAATATTAAATTGTGTGACATCCTCAGTTAAATAAATAGCATAAAGAGATTGTTAATTAAAGAAATAAAAAGGCAATACAAATCGAAATATCTTGCTCTTTCTGGGTACATGCAAAATCCTCTTCTTTTATGTGATGAAAATTCTGCCCATTTAAATCATAACCAAAATACTCACGAAGTGGTCAACTTCGTCGATCTCTCCCGTAGCAATATCAATTTCCGTAATAGGTGTTTGGGTCCCAGAAATATCCCGCACGGCCTGAATAGAAAAAAAAGGTACGCAAAATTACAGCCTAATACGCACTGATACGCATAAATACAAAGAAATACGCATTAAACAGGAATAACACACATTTAAATCCATAACGTAGAGAAACTGGTACGCATTGATACGCTTTAAGACGCACATTTCAAATTATTTTTGTGTCACTACCATACATGTAGGGGCGACTACATGTATATTACTACCAATTTGTCTATATTACAGTCATAGTCACTGCACCTCATGAAAATGCCACACTGATACTGCAAATATGATACTTTGTCTGGAAGCCAGTATATACTTCCATATAAACTTTTGGTGGAAATTGCCGCCGTTAATACATACATCAAACGCAAGCAGGAATTTAAATTACGATGAGACGGCTGTAGTTTATTTGAGAAAATGTCACTCCTTTATCATCAAATAAATACAAAATTATCAGATTTTGTTATCAACTTATGAAATATGCAACAAGAGAATATTACACAGTAACTGTTAAATCTATATTTGATCTTTTTTAAAAACATCAACCCATTCTAGTCATCTCAGCATGCGTGCCACGAAACCCGTGACGTCATGTGACGTAAGCATGATGTCATATTTCGTCATCCACCACCGTAAGTGATTAAAAGGTACGTATGAAGTCAAATATTGTTATACTGTTAGACCACATATAGTACAAGTAAAACACCCCACAACCAACTTCCATAGCCATGAATGAAATCATGAAATCAGTGCAAGTAGTTCACTATTTCCCTTCTTTCTTACTTGTTTTGAAAGGGTGGGAGTATAGTTACAAAATAGCACAGCAAATAATAAATAAATAAATAATTTTTTTAAAGATCAAAGCCAGAAAGTGAAAAAGAACAGAAGCAAAGGGAATATATCATAATAACACCCAAACCCACAAGGTCTACTAAATCAATAGAGTGTGACTGACAAAGCACATGATTCGTCACCACTCACCAGTTACGTTCGCAACACAGTGTAACACCCATTCCTACTAAAAATGCTCAACCCCTAGTTTGAATAAAAGTATAGCTACAACATCTTATACTTTCTTCAAAAATGGCAAAGATCTACTGAGACTTTTTTTATCATAAAATAATATGTATAAAAATCGAAATGGAATGTCCCAAAAATCAACTTACACCAGGCCCCGGTATACAAATGCAGTGGTCTGGTAAATCCTAACAAATATGGAGAACGTAACATAAACCCACAAGAAAAGGGTATAAAAACATACTGCTATATTTTAATATACTCCAAATACACATGTAGATAATCTTACTGTGTTTAAAAAGGGTTTGTAGGGGGGGGGGGGAGATACAGTGTATCAGACTCACCTTCTACACAGGTCTGATTATGCATTCTCAGTGATCACTTTTATGTATATCTGATTTGGGCAAAGGCTGGCGCTTCAATATTGGCCACTACATACAAATACTGACCACAAACTTGTCAGTGAGGTCTTGGCGCGATCATAAACAACTTGCAGCTTTTCAGCAATGTAAAACCAAGGAATCTCGCCTCCCTTTGATTAAAAAATTCACAACCCTTTCAAAAATGTAGGTGAAACAAGCCAGATAATCCGCAAATATAGAAAAAGGATACCGTTGCAAAGTAGCTGTATAACATATATAGTAGGTTTCGCTTTCTCTCTGATAGCACAGGGGCTTCTAATCTAGTACCGGTATATTGGTAGTAAACAAAATTGAAGAAGATACAGTAATTTTGCAACAGACCACTAGCGAACCCCGTCGTAAGAGAGTGCTAGTAGGTTTAGCTGAATGTATATATGAGCACTACCGTACCCGGGATGTGTTATGTGATTCACTTTCAAATGCATAATATGTAGAAGGTGAGTTGAGAACTGGGATTCTGCTGTTCAGCAAAATTATATATGGTAATACATGTTCTATACGTTAGTCTACATGCCATGTTTGAGATATATCGTTAGTGGAATGAGGACTAGTTAATGTATTTACATGCAAACTCAAACCAAAGCATCTTAAAGGGGTGCGGCTTCAGTCGAGCAATAAATGAATGCTGGTTAATAAATAAATAAATAAATAAATAAATAAATAAATATTAGCGGAAGATAATGGATTTACCTTGAAACTCAAGGATCGCTACAAAGATAAAATAAAAACAGTGCTTTGACATAAAAACAATATAAACAGCGCACGTTGACAACACTGGCACTATAAGGACTTAATGAACGTTTTCTTCGAGTTTGACATCTGTAAGTTTTTCATAGCACAAAACGCATTTGCCCCAGTGGAAATGGCCAGTTGATCAAAATACAACGCAGCCGTCTCAATTTTATATCCACAACTGTATATAAAATACAACGCGAGAAAAATAATTTTCCGTCTATACAAACATATGTCGACAGGTAAAACTGATACCAACAAAACTAAAAAAAATTCTCTACATAAAAAAATGCTGCGAGATGATACATTTTATTGGCGATCGGCTAAAAAGGCCTTAAGTACGTAACTTTTACACATTCTGTATTACGAAAAACTTTATTATTCGGAAATAACTATATGAAGGAACACTTTGAACGGAACATATTTATGCAACTACAGTATGAGTAAAGTGTGGGTTGCTACTGCTGCAGGACCGTCACAAAAACATTTTCTAAAAATCTTACTTGTCTAAGTTAAACTAAACACAAGCAACTTTGAATGCAATTAAAATATAGTAATAATGCAAACGAGACTAAGGCGACGGTGGAGGTGTATATCTTAATCCCATCTCTAAAATCCGACAGGCCGGTGCTCTCTCTCTCTCTCTCTCTCTCTCTCTCTCTCTCACACACACACACACACACACACGCACGCGCACACACACATATTCACACACAAATATCTAGTGGCGCTCTTTCAGTCGCTTTCTAATCAACATCACAAAACAAGCACGTATATACAACTGTATTAGACCTAAAATCAAAAAGAGACAACACCTTTGTTTAGTAACTCATTTTCTCTCGCTTTCCGAAGCAATTCATTCACTTCAGAATTCCACATCATTTACTGAACCAGTAAGTAAAATGGACCACAGCTTTGGGACACCCTTACCTGCGACAACCTGACGACAGTGTCAAGGAAAGCGTCCGCGTTCTTGGGCAGCAGGAAAACGAGGCTGTGGTCGTTCAGTTTCTCCTCCATCTCTTTATCGAACACCACGTGGACTACTGTGTCGCCTTGCACCGGGATGCACTTGGCACCTTTGTAGAAAAATTAAGATTATTTTACATAAAAATAATCAGATAGAACAAAGTCTTCTTCAAAATCACAAGAGGCCCGGGCAAATTTTGCAATACCTTTAGTGAAGCTAGTGTTAAAAAACAAACACACACAATAAATAAATAAATAGATAGATATACTTACTTTCCGTATGGCAGTTAATTCTAACTCTGGTCAATTCCTCCACGCTGACGGTGGACAGCATGTTGCTGCTGTCAATCAAATGGACGTCGCGTCCCGTCAAAGATAAATACCGATATAGAAGAGTTTCGTGGAGATTCACTGTCTTTGAGTAATAGAGGTCGATTGGTCTCACTGGAATAAAGTAAAGGGCACATTGGAATGATAGGAAATTAGTCGGCAGTGAAAAAAAACACGTAAGGATAAAACTGAGAGAGAGAGAGAGAGAGAGAGAGAGAGACTCAAGTTGTAGAAAAACAACATCACGCCTACATAAAGTGGTAACCCTAGTGTCCCTCATTTCTACTTCTAGCTTCAATATCTTTGTGTCATATGCTGTTGTTGGTTGATTTTAAAAAGTCGAAATAACTTAATCCTAAATCGCATACATACACTCGAGAAAAAAAAAAAAAAAAGATATGTCGTTACCCACCATGAAGCCATCCAGAAACTTTCTGCGGATAGACAACTTTCTCGGAATCTTTCAGCCGGATTCGTATTTCCGTTATGAACACACCGTGCACGTTCATCAATTTATTATTATCCACGATCTGGCGGAAAGTAGATAAAGAGCTCATGGGGATAGAATACCTGAAACATTGGACTTAATTTCTAAATTTCGGAATGCTCAAAACCTAGTTTGCCCTACACAACCAGTAATTCATTTCAAATAATTTTTACGCGTCAGAGTTTACGCTGCAAAATGAGAAATACCATAGAAACATACAGAACAGAAATCAATATCAGAAATTTCCTTTTAAATTCTATCGCAAGTCGAAGATTGATGTATAAAAAGACATTACAGGAAACAATGTGCGTACGAACACGCTCATTTACAAAAATAGCAACATACACATACAAACGTTTTGTTTTATGACAAAATAAATTAAAATATATAGAAATAATAAAAAAAATAAATAAATAAATATAATTGAAAGGAAAGAGTAAGGGCCCATTCCGTATTAATCTGTTAATCTGATTGCTTTCAGCGAGAGTCTCCGCGGAGCAGGATCCATCTACGTGGAACGATGGTTTCATTGGGAACAAGCCTTTAACGATCAATTTGTAATTAGTGAGTACTAGCTGTTAAAATTTAAGTTTATGCTTCCTGCACCACACTGAGGGGGGTATGTATCTTGAATTAGATATGGTTTTAGATAATAAAAACTGATCGAAAAGTGGGCACAAAAATCGATCTTTTACCTGAGTAATAAGGAACCATACTCTATCTGCTCCCAGAGGAAGTCATCCTCGTGAAGACAGAACATGAACCGCAGCGCCCTCTCCAGGTGTTCACGTCTGTCCAGGAAGTTCATCAGGTTACCGCGCATGCGGAATGTGGTCATGAAACGAGGCTGGTCTGTAATTAAAAAATAATAGTAAATAAATAAACAAATTTAAAAAAACTAAAAAAAACTCATTAACAGTAGTTAACTATTTCTTTGAATATGAATATCATTATTACCTTTTGAATAGCCCTTGTATGTTATCTTAATCATATTAAATGTCGGTATCTTATTTAATAACATACATGTATACCAGTATATATACAAGTAATTATAAAATCATACATGATTACAAAGAACATATTATAAACAAATCATTTATATCAAAATATGTGCAAAATTGTTTAGGCCACGTATGTAAAGACGAAACTCACGAGAACTGTTTTAAAAATAAAGTATAATCAAATGTAGGTCTTACACTATAGTCTCTTTTCAATAACAGTTGGGTCAAGATCCGTTCAACCTGACACATTCAATTGTGGTATAAATAGAATGAAAAACTAGTATCACGACAACTGGCGATCACAAAAACATCCATTATCGCACAGAAAGGGCAGAACTTCTCCAGTTCCCAGCATAAAAGGCGTCATTGACATCATACAGTATATTGTACGCCACAGATATCAAAGTCATGAATAACAGTCGCAAGTTCTTTTAAAAAAAAAGAAGAGAGAGAGAGAGAGAGAGGGGGGGGGGGGCGCATAACCGCACCTCTCCCCGATTTTTTAACCACGCCAGTCGTGAGCTCAGATTGTTAAAAGAAGGGGGGGGGGTCCACTCTTCTAACCTATATATATGTACGCCTGAATAAGTCATAAAATATCCCGTCGAAGACTAATGTCAAATACATATTTTTGCCGTTATCCGTTACTGTTACTGTTTTTTCTGGATACTCAAAACCCCCACCCACACACCTAAACTTGTTTTCTACAGACCTGGTCAAGGATCTGCCTTAATGTTTCGAAATAGGGACAAGACGTGTATAAAATTAATGCATGAATTCAGAGAACTATGCAAATAATTCTAAAACATCTGAGGTCATTTCACCTTAATATCGACCCGAACGGTCGGTTTTTCTTTCATACATGTCTGGCATGCATCTCTGAGTGCGGTTAACCTGTTATGAGAGCAAGGGCAAAAGGGGTAAGTTTGAAACCATCAAGGTGAAATGTGAAGGTTCTAAATACATGATTCGTGATGTGTGTAATACTACGTCAAAGAAAACGCAAAACAAGTTTTGTGGGTATCAGTTTTATTATTTTGCAAAAGAGAACACGGTATGGCTGTGCCACTTTCTATGACAGATCAAAACGGTTCCATTCTCTTGCCCCTCGCCCCCCCCCCCACCCACACACACACACACACACACACACACACACTCTTTCTTACATGTTTCTTGTCCTATTGCGGATCGGAAAACGGACGAAATGCTGGTAGCTCTCTCTCTCTCTCTCTCTCTTGACACACACTCTCTCTCTCACTTACACACACACACACACACACACACCCAGTCTATCTCTACCCTTTCGCTATTCTTAAAAAATATTTAATTTTTTTTAAATACATTTATCACTGACCACAAACTTACCAGACACGTTCCGATGTTTTCGACGAAACTCCGTCAAGCGAGCGGCAGATGCTTTCTCTTCCACGGACGACAACAGTATCTCCATATTTTCCAGAAGCTTTTTGTGTCCATAGGAAGATTTAACATTCTCCACCAGGGTCCGGCCATCTTCTACTTGTGCCGATACCTATATGAGTTGGATTATATTTACACAATATATCTAATCAATAAGTTCTTGTTTCTTTTTTTATTGGTAAAGTGCAACGACAGACAGCCAAATATTATTATTTTCACTTTATAAGCCGCCTCATAAAGGTGAAAAATGAATGTATATACATAGACAAAACATGCCAAATACCCAAGTAAAAATAAATACCCACATGTTAAATCAAAGTACAAAGACATGATCACTTTTATTGCGGCTAAAAAATCAACACATCAGACAACACAATCCAAATATTCATTCTTTGTTTACTTATTCTTCGATGTTTTTCGTTTGAAGGATTGTCTTATAACCATAACACAAAACTTTTAATTTCTGGTTTTAGGCGAGGCGTACCTCTCGAGGGAAGTGGCAGAAAGCTGTCATCCAGTGGACCTCCTCGAGGGTCAGGTCTTTGGTGACATCCTCCAATAGATTTAACTCCTCTTCCTCGGACATTGTCCAAAGAGAAAGGGGGGCAAGTCCACGAAGGTGTCTTAATAGTCTCTTGTGGGGCGAGGTGGTGGTGGTGGGGTGGGGTGGGTTCACGGTCAGTCTCGAGGTCGTGTTCCCGTGCAAAACGGCTCTCAGCTCTGGTGGTCAGCTAAACCTGGATTGTAAAAATTGTGATTGTAAATCGTAAAAGGGCGGGTAACTCAGATATTTTCTCGAGCAAGTGTGTGTGTGTGTGTGTGTGTGTGTGTGTGTGAGAGAGAGAGAGAGAGAGAGAGAGAGAGAGAGAGGAAGAGCATGCGTTCACACTGACAAGTGCTAGTACACAGCGGGTATTTACAAGTGTTAGCTACACGGGGCTGATTCCACCATATACATATGCATTCCAAACCATTCTCAGTATCTAAGCTACCTGAAAATGGGGTAGGTAATTTATAGGTACCTAAATACCTGAAAACAAAAGTGCTTAACGCTAACATACTAAACATATACCTATACCGTGTCGGCCATTCGCAAATAGTAATTGACGTCCAGTAAAATTCCCAAATTCTGACTTATTCAACTCAAAGCACGCTACCTTTTAATCCAGCACAGTGTATAACTTGAACGCGATCGGCCAATTTTTTCGATTGACCTCACGAGTTCAATCGATCGATAAAATTCCCCAAAAGAACGAGACTGTTGTTTGATAAACAATGGCTTTTGATATTAATGAATTGGAAACCATCCAAAAAGCGTTGCTCCTAAAATAAGAACTCGTCGCTTTAAAATACCCAACACCGAGTTTTTTTTTTTTATACCAATACAAATAAAGAAACTAATCGAGCAGTTTGGCCATTCAATTGAAATTTACCAATCGATTACTAGTATGCACGTGTACCACCGTTTGTTTACAAACAATCCACCTCTCTCGCGTTTGGCAAAGGTCCAGTGCATATACTGGCATGTCCCTCTAACACACGCAGTATTACTTAGGCTTCTAACACAAATCACATGCATGTGTGTATTCGATTTTCACTGTCTAAATCTGGGTTATGTACCCTGCATATGCACTGCTAAAGTATATAAATATTCAGAAGATATATAAGCTCGTAATTTATATAATATACTAGAAAAGCACTCCGAGAGCGCAGACCTCCGCCAACGCAGCGATTTTTTTTATTATTGATTATTGATTGATTATTGATCCAGATCACCACCAAAAACTAATCATCTCTTCCTTGGCTCACTTTTGACAGTTCCTGAAAATTTTATCAAAATAGGTCCATAACTTTTTGAGTTATGTTGATGGCAAACAAACAGGGGTGAAAACATAACCTCTTTGGCGGAGGTGATGATATTTGATAAATCCAGGTAGACATGACTTCTCTTCTTTCTCTCTCTCTCTCTCTCTCTCTCTCTCTCTCTCTCACACACACACACACACACACACACACACACCCCTCTGGTGCTCTAACCTTCTAAAACTGCAGTCTCAACGTGAAAGTTCATTCAATTACTTTGTGACTATTCACGAAGTAGGGCATCCGACTGAACAGAGCGTAGATTCATTTAATTTTACACGTAGCACGCACAGATACATGTACCTACACCAAAACATCAATTGTGACTTCAACACGGTGGCGGCTTACTCTTCCCACTGGAAATATGTCACGCAGAACGGTGCTTAACCCTGGTCTACCTGCTTCTGAAACGTGCGGATGCCTTAATGGCACCGTACACTTGTCCGTCCCCTTGAAGTTCAGTGTCACATTGAGGAAGTGGACGTATGCTAAGACCACATTAGTGACGATGTTTGCATAGTGACGTCAGAATATTTTTTACATTATCAGTAATGGTTAGTCTAAACCTTCATTCACCTTACGTGCTTTATATTTGTGTTGCATTTTGAGAGCCATTGATTTTACATATGAAATATCATTATGAAAAATGTTTATTCCATTTTTTTCATTTCTACTTCATCTGCTAAAATGTTCAATTATTATTATAATTATTATCGCAATTTTTAATTTTCATTCCTTATTTTTTTACTGGCGACGCCTTACTAAGTTTTCCTGATATTCCTGACCTAATAGACTTCCAAGTACACACGGGAATGTGGCTTCTTTTCTAACCTCAGCCGATCCCTTATCGGAGACGAAGTAATTCAATTCACATCGTAAGGAATTGAGAGTATTCGTCTTTTAGAACAAACCAGTTCAATAAGGGGGCGTGTCCAGACAAAGCCTGTTCGGACCGAAAATCGGTCTCACTGTCGTCATTACACGCACGACCTAATTACTACTCAAGTCCAAGGTTTGTCAAACTCCGTCCTATTTTTTCGGTCCAAATAAGTTTTTATCTGCACATTGCAATTATATGCGTATTTCCATCGCCATTTAGCAGCCGTGAAAACACAACAAAGCTTACTTGTTGTGGATTAATTCCATCGTTCAAAATATCGGTAGGTGTAAACAGGACAATTGAATCCATACACATCTGTGGCGACAAAAGACCGCTGTTAGAACGGGAATGTCAGTCTAACGTCAGTCTGCATATAAAAGCCCTTTTAACCCTATATTGCTATAACAAACTATCACGATATCGCCCTTCCTTTTGCTTCACCAGCTGTTGGGCCATCAGCTGTCCATACAAACTGTGATGTCCTAGAATTAATATATTCAAATTCCTTGAGCTGTTTTTACACACGTTAAATGTGTCTAGGTTGCAACACACTATGGGTTTTTTAATTGGATGGTGCTTCTTTTTTAAAAGGGGGATTCTTCACGTTGAACAAATATCCCGGTATTTAAAAGGCGTTTCTATATGTGTATGATTCCTTCCCCTTTATTAACAGACTAAACCGTAAAATCAAACAAGCTGCATGAAAAACACGACGTAGTCTGACAACAAGGGAATCCATCAAAATCTGCAGGGAATTTCCACCCTTTCTTCTTTCAACACAAATAACGCCGTTTTTTACCACTATAAATAAATCACTTCTCGCATACATCATTCCTGAACAAAGTCATTGGCATTTATTGATCGGCCTGCTGGATCCAGACAGATATCATTGTAGTGAATAATTTCTGTGGTGCGGGCGAAGCACTAATAAAGCTTGTTCACATAAGTCACATGTTAGATTGGGAGTCCGTCTGAAAACGCGTCGAGACTGAACACTAAGGCCCAGTGGGACTTCTAAATCAGGAAATCGTCTGACGTCGCGAGATAGATCGATAACGAGACCAGTGAATTCAGGATTTTGCCAAGCGGACTGTGTGTGTGTGTGTGTGTGGGGGGGGGGGGGGGGGGTAGCTTTTCTCTTCAAATAGCATACGAAATAATAGACGAAGACACTTGTNACTTGAAGATTTGAAGTAAAGATCACATGTACTCTAATAAAAACGTACAACTTACCCTAGGTAACATGTATAGGCCTAGTGAATTTTATCTCCGAACGAGGTACATGTACATGTAAGCATCTACATCCGGTTGCTTTATTCTTAATTTATTGTTATTCTAATGTAAACATTTAGGGGTCAAGAAAGGTGAGGACAATGACTGTTTGGGCGTTGAAAAACAGGGTGCATTATTCTCAATCACTATTCCTGCAATATATTTTAACCACACATGTCTCTAACTGCTATATCTACAGAACTTAATGCTTGTAACAGACGCTATACAGACGCTGTATGTGAGGTCAGAAATGTTCACCCTTGGCTTCAATAAGCTAACTTTCTTATTCTCTCTCTTTCTCTCTCTCTCCGTTTCTCTTTCCAGCAAACGCTCTCCAACAGCCGAGCACCGTTCAAGTGATATATACAGCCGGTGGTTCTTGAGGTCCATACATCCATACATCTTGAAGATGTGTCAATTATTGACGTACATCTTCATGTTTTGGTTTCCCTCTGTTTCGATTGCACACTGACTCATGGCACAAATTAAAAGTAAGGTGTATAAAACCTGGTCATTCCGTGTATATGTATGGCTACTGGGTATAGCATCAAAAATAGTGTGTTATCCATCTTTTGGCCAATCTTCAGGTTGAAGTTTTATTACAGTGCATGAACACGCGTTCATAACACGTTCAGATTGAAGCGTTTTTTTTTTTTAATTAATTTTACGCGGGTCCAAATGCTATTATTATGATATTAAGAGCTAAGATCTAAGTGGAACGATGGTTTTAATTAGGAATTTTGATACATGTAAATTGGTACTAAGTGAAGATGGTTACGACATAATATTTATACATTTATCGTAAATGGCGTAAGCCGGAAATGGTCACTTGGATACAAAACTTTGGGACATGAAATATATATTTGCATTAAAGCCAGATGTCGGATTCAAAGTGGTCACGCAAACACAACAAGCTGCTCAATACTGGTACAATGTACTCTCCAAACTATGATCTCATTTTCGCCAATTTTCAAATACGGTAGATATAGTGCGTATGAAATTATGTTGTGTCTTTTTAACACAAGCCATCGCTAAAGTGAAGCTTATAAAGTCACTCAACAATATTCGCTATTATAATCCGGTATACACATTTTATTAACAGTCCTTAAACACATCAAACGCGTGGCGGTCTATAGGAGTAAATTTTCTTGTTGTTGTACAGGTATGCAATGCCAAAATTCTCCCTCTTCCTTGCACACACACACACACACACACACACACACACAACTCTTTTTCATTCTTAAAATGGTTTTTCTGTCAGTCTGAATCGAATAGTCGTATTTTTCTCCCGACCTTCCTGCACTCCCATTCATCTCTTCGCACCTGTCTTGTCTGTCTACACCAAAACCCACAGGCATTTTAGCATTGGCAAAAAAATTAATGAAAACTTTGTGTAACAGCGCCTGTCAGAATACATGCACATCGCTTTGAAACCAATCACAGTAATGGCACCGTAGTCGGGTTATTGTAGACGTAACTAGCACGATCGAAGTCGATAAATTACTTATCGAAAATGAAAATACTGTGAAGAATTAATATATAAGACTTCGGTGCATACAAGGACTTATTATTTCGCTATTGTGACGAAAAGTCTATCACCTTCTGTCGTAATTTCAAAAACAATACATTTTTACAATGATATTTTACTATTAAAATGAGTTGAAGAAAAAATGGATCTCATTGAAATGATGTGCTAATGCTCTACCATAAAGTGTTATGTTGTGCAGAAATGCGGTTTATATATACACGTTACCACCGTAGTGTATGTTTGTCAGTATAAACTTACCATTGAATAATAATGATGATAATAATATTAAGAGGAAGATAATCAGAAAAGGTCACAGACCAATTGGAATCGGAGTAATTTTCTTAAGTTTAGGCTGTCTAGACGTCTATCGTGTTGCGTGAGTGAACTTTAGAACACAATCCCCTAGTATGTTTTAGGTACGGATGCCATGTACATTGAGGTTATTTATACTAAAAGTCTAAATATCTGTCTGATCTATGTGCAAGCATACCTGAGTAACGGAGGCTACAGGGAATTCACCTCTATTGCAATGTATTGGCAGGCCTCGGAACCTATAACACTACAGTGTTTTCACGGTTATCGGAAATACTGGGGTTGCGACTTGGTCAAGTACCTATCTACACTTTGAAAAAGAAAAAAAAAAAAAAAAACTAGACCTGACTCTAATCAGTTTTAAATGAATCGTTGAGAAAGGAGACGTTTTTGTTATACGTGTATTTTGTATGTGTAACCACTGTATAACTCCCGGTGTTGAAGGGTCAGCGCTTTTGGGACCGTAGAGTGAGAAACAGTCACGTTTTATATATATATCTACAATAATGAATAAAATAATAATCTAACTGGGCATTTACCGGCTTACAAGCAAACGCACGCACACATTCACAAACACACGCACACGCGTTATATTTGCCACTGAATATCAATATAGTCCCAAAGCGAAAGGTCACCACCAATTTCCTTTTCAACTCCATCATCGTATACTTCATGGACCGTAATAACGTGCAATATTGCAGTTGTATTGCATGGTTAGAAGCATTACGCGTGACCAGATATTACACCCGGTACATGTACATGTAGGCTTATATACTAACTACCTGTACGTTATTCTGCTGCAAACACCCTGATATGAAGATGCCTTTAACAATATTCATAACTAGTAAATTATATAAATGTATGCACGCTGACAATGGAGTTCCCAGGAAAGATTATGAAGACACGCCCACTGCTATGGAGAGAGAGAGAGAGAGAGAGAAAACGTGTGTGTGCCCTGAAAATAAGGTGATGAAGAGAGTAAGCTGAGTATTGGAGGGAGCTACCATCAGTGCTCTGACACTCAGGGTGAAAGAGAGAAATATGCAGAGCAGAGGGGGAGAGCCATCGTCAGTAATCGGAAACTTCGGCCCTCCTACTGCACTCTAAGACTATCATAGAACTCCTGTGGGGATTCTTCCATAAGTACATTACTACAATATATGTGTTTTAAATGATCCGTAAATATACCTGTTTTATATGATCAACAATGACCTCCTTAATATCCCCCCTAATTAAACATGTATGCACATCTCTAAACGCTGTGACCTTTTTAAATGTGGGTATTCACATAAATTTTATATAAAGCGAGTATTTCACTATGCCATTAACGCAAACTACAAATAAATACCATACGAGATCGCAGGAAGGGAAAATCATCTTACCAATTTCCACGGTCGATTCAAGAATCAGATGCACTCCTTGGCTGTCTGATCTTTATAAACCAAGGTCACTGAATCCCTTAATACTTCCTCTCTCACACCCCCCACTTCTAGACGATTTCTTCTATGTGTGTCGCTGTCAACTTTCATCTGCCACGACGTACAACTGAAGCCTTATCATAGCTTACTGGGTTGATGAATAAATGACCGCTGAATTAGTCTAAGTGCAGGTAAACAGTGTGCAAAATGACTGCCTGTGTCAAATTGGTCTGAAGCTTTGCCGATCGATATGTTTTCGCCGGCTGCTGCATGCAGCTCGGGTAGTTGTGTATATATGTATATACAGGTCTATATGTGTGTGTGCCTGCGTCAGCAACTTCTGTGTAGTCGCGTAAATGGCGTAGACGTACATGTTAATGACGAAGTCCTTTTTTTTTAACGTTGTCGTCTCACTGAATCGGTTTGCGGTTTCTGGACGAAAGAACGGTGGCAGTGGTGTTGGGAAGGGAAGGTGGGGGTGCATGTCATGAATACCATTTCATATTCAATTATTGATTCCTTTATGAAAACATTATAATTGCAAAAAATAAAGGATAGGGAGCAACCGATTAGCAACCACATTTATTAATTTTTTCTTAAATGATACATATTAAAAACCGCTGCAAAGGGGCATTTGGCAATGATCAGTAAACATGATACTCTCTCTCTCACTCTCTCTCTCTCTCTCTCTCTCTCTCTCTCTCTCTCTGTGTGTGTGTGTGTGTGTGTGTGTGTGTGTGTGTGTGTGAGTGTGTGTGTGTACCATTTTGTTTTTTAGAAAGGTTGGGGTGGATTTACGGAATACATTGAATCTCGCAAGAAGTATAATAAAGTATAAGGCTAAGACCCAGTGTTTATATACAGCTATGTGCATGCGAATAATTTGCAACAATATGTATAATGTTACATTATTTATACATAAAAGGACAGAGCACAGTCACTCAGAATTCAGACGTCGAGTCGAGACAGCATGTTGACAGCACGCCGTGCATGAATGAAAAAAATTAAAATAACACGATTCACTGAATCAGGGGCAAATGCATCCGCACATTAGAAGGACTGGGGATATTCTGTTTAAGAGATAAGCACAGATACTCACTTGTTTTACCTTTTACCTTTAGCTAGAACCACACTGATACAGACCACACCGCATGCCTCGTCTGCAGCTTTTTTTCGGGATAATTATGGGATGGAATAGAGTGCTCTTTGTCGCATTTTGGTGTCTCCTCTAACGCAATGACAAACAATCGCGTTAGAAATTCGGCCTGCGGCAATACAGAACTTTTTTCGTGTTCAAATCAAAGAGATCTTCTTATCTATCTATCTATCTATCTATCACTTTGTTCAAATCATTCCAGTCTAAGGCTGTTCTTTATGTGACGACAGTAAAAACAGTTACACAGTTTGAGTGAAAATAAATGCACAACTTCCAGTTTCATTATCTTTTTATTTTGTGATACTTTTTTTTAAATTTCAATTTATGTTATTTAGAATTATAATTTCTTTTCATATTTTAATTATTCTCAGCATTGATAACCTTAAGTGGAAATTTAGCCAATTTCACTTTTATGAAGTGTGGACAACACTCCACATGTGATGTGACAAATATTGTACTAGTAAATTAATATAAAAATTGTTATAATGCACATTGCTATGGGCCTTGCATACAAGTTGCAGAGTGCTCTTTTATTCTGATGAAATTAACTTTTTTTTATAAGAAACAAACAGTTCAAAATAATATTATCATGATATATGTTATAATTACTTTATGCGGTGCAATTTCACATTTTCAAAAGGATATAGCTGCATTCACTTTTACTTTTTTAAGAAATTGAGTTACATTTTCAATAGCCAATAAAACCATGCTTAAATTTAAAAGATTTATTTGATTGTAGATTTAATTTTGTAAAAAAAAAAATTAAAAGCACCCATAAAAAGAGAAAAAATCACAACTACTTTAAAAAATCTCTATAAAGTTGTTAAATGCCACAACTACAGTCGGATGTTATACTGATAGGAGCACTATAAGGCTGCTAAATTCAGATGTTAATAAATAAATAAATAAATAAATAAATAAAAATATTCCGCATACTTTGAAATTACATTTTTTTTTTTGCTCTTTCAGGACTAGCTTTTAACTTTCCATTTAGCTTTATGCCTTCCACAGAGCTGTACAACATTTAACAAACAGTTTCTTCTAATTCAATGGCACAGTCATACTTTCAGATATGGTTTGTTTTCCTATGAGATTACTTTCACTTCATTCTTTGTTTCCTTCCAGATCTCTTTTCCTTTCAAATAATCCATGCTTGTTTACTGCCAAGGTACAACTTTCCTCTCGTACAGAAACTTGCCTTTTGGTTCCTTCACATTAGGAGGGAGAGTGGCCAGATATACTGGGGTGTCTGCCCCTGTATGGAAATAACATGAAATAAATATAAATATCACAGATGGTAATTATTTAACACAAGCTGAAAATGTTTTCTTCCTACCTTTTAGTTGCGACCAACCTGGTCATAGGCTTTTATCGAGCTAAGGATAGGGAGAAAATGTTCAACTTGTGTTCAAGAATTATCATCTATGATCCAACTACCAAGCTATGAACATTTTTGCTCATGTCTGAAATCAATAGTTGGCTTGATCAGAACCTTTCCCCAGAAGGTGCTGTTTTGCTACCCTTTTCGTGGGTCACAGATTGATTTTTTTTTTATCGGGGCCTGCTCAAGGGCTCTGAATTTTTTTTTTTTTTTTTGGTGTTTTGGAGGGCAAATGGTGTACAGATTAGAACTATTATTCAGCTAGTCAAAATTCTAATTTCAAGAGGGAAATATTGGTGTGATATATTTTTCAGAAACCAAAGGGGCAGGGGGTGGGGTCAGGACACCCCTGATCCCCCCTCTAAATCCGCCACTGTAGTGGGTATGTCTTTGACTAGTTCTTTACACTTTTTTGTTCTGTGAGAAATAATATATGGAATTGTCATTACTAGTGCCCTGAAACTATACTAGTTAGTGGCTGCCAAACACACAAGACATTCTCCTTAACATCATTCCATCAAAATAATTAATGTCAAGTTAAATCTTATGTGAAATGCCATTGCCTAAGTTTGTGACAGATATATTTAATTGTAAAAGAGCTGAATGATAATTACTGTAACAGTTTTGGATTCAACAAAAACCACATTTACTCATAAGATTTACTTTGAAATATAGAATTTGCATTTTTCCTTCAACTAGTCAACCGATCTATACACACATACAAACATACATGTACAGTACTATCACAAACACATGTAAATATTTCATTTGAAGTGTACATATAGATTTAATATCATAACATTTAAAGTACATTGTATTTGATCACAATACCTTGTTCTGGTGTCTTGGGTCCCTTGTGGCTGGTCATGTCAGTGTCAACATACCCAGGGCAACACTGGAGATATAAGAGACAAGATGCAGAACCTTAGTAAGTCATGATCAGTCTCTGTATACATGTATTTGCATGTGTACAGCTGTCCTTTTCATTTTTTATCAGTAAGGAATACTGCAAATGGGGGTGGATCCAGGATTATTTGAAGGAGGGGGGGGGGATCCGCAGATGTAAAGCCGACCCTTGGCCCCCTCTGGCATGGGGTATGGGTAAGCTATATATAATTTTGGTACTTTAGAGGGTGAACGGTGCCATTTGGTATGGTTTAGAACTATGAATCAGCTAGTCAAAATTCTTACATGTATTTCTAGAGGGGCCATTGGCGTGATTTTTTTCAGAAATTGAAGGGGGGGGGGCATGACCCCCCCCCCCCAAATCAGTCACTGTATTTTAACTAAATAATAATTTTCAGAAACATAACACAACACATAACTTACCGTATTAACCACAATATCCTCTCTGGGGTCAGTGTTAAACATGTCCTGCTGGACAATGCCCAAACAGGTGACGCCCACTTTAGATGTCCCGTATGCACTCTCTGGCCAGCCTTTCTCTTTGAAAGTACCATTTTTTGCAGCACTTCAATAAAGTTGAATACACAAGAGACATTTGAAATATTTGATTGTGTTTTGTATTATGTATTTCACTTTCCATAACCCTACCTTTCAAACACTTTTTCACATATTTTTTTTTCAGGACTAAGCTGACAAAAATTACAATGTAAAACCTTTGGCTACTACTTTGGTACACAAAACTGTCTCAAACATTTGAAATCTGCTGTGAAATGCACATGTAGGCTACTCTACAAACTATTTTAAAGATCTTTACTTGCTCCAAAAGATTTTTCATGAATCTCTGAAAAATTGCTCTAAAACCTGATTTCAAATTTTGAATAACTAAATGAACTTTTTCCTGAGGATTTACATGTTCCACAAAATATTTTATCAGTCACTACTTACTCCACAAACTGCTTCATAAGAGCCGACAGCTCATCCATAGTAAGTTTTGATGTGAAAGTTTTCCTCAGTTGTTCACTGACTCTCCTCAGTGTACCTGTACTGGCCTGACTTGACACATGAACCACCCTAGAATAAAGATAATAAATCTTGATAATAAAATTAAATGAAATGTCAATGTTAAAATGTGAATGTTGAATCAATGTTGAATCTTTATTTATCCATATCTAAACTTAATTGATTTTACTACAATTCTTTTAAGTCACACTTAAAATAAGATTATTTTTTCAACATTTATGATATTTATCATTTTAGCTTCACACAAAAATGTTTTATTTATATAGCATTTAACCTATCTCATTTTCAAACTTTTCAATCATATCTGGAAATCTATTTTTATTAATTTGTTTGATTTTAAAGAGTTACTGCTATATGAGGACTGCAGTACCTCCTGTGTAGGATAACAGTAATGGAAGAGGAGGGCACAAGGAAAAAGTGTACTTTTCTTTGCTCAGCAAATATAAACCAGTAAAAGAGATCAGTTTTACTATAATAATATGTACTTTGGGACACAGGTATGAAAACTTGATTTTATTTATTATTTAACTTTCTTTTATTGGATTTTGGGAAGTAGGCCTACATTCTGTAGAGGATGGGGGGGGGGGGGAGAGGTGTGGACATTTATAAGATAAGGGGGATCCACATGCCTGCAGCATCCCCCCCTGGAAAAGCTGTTGAGTTCTTACCTGGCATGAGGTCTGAGCAGGGGAAACAAACTGTTGCACACATTAACTGTTCCCCAGTAGTTTGTGTTAACTGTTACCTCAGCTTGTTCTGAAAAGGGAGCTTTTGATGCCATCTGTCAAAAGAAGAAAAACATAATAATAAGAAACAAACAAACAAACAAACGCTAAATAAATTAACAGTAGACCATAAATGAATGAATGAATCAATCAATGGAATGAAATGTAAAAGGGAAATAAAAATATATAACATCAGTTTATAATCCAAGTATTCCACAATTAACTATTGAACCGAGTTACATTTCATCAACATATACATTATATAGTTAGGTTTGAAGAAAATAAAACAAATGAGAAAATTAAAATTTTATAAAAACCTGTCAATATTAGCTGAGAATCACCTTATATGCAATCCCAGCATTATTTATTAATACATCTAGGCCACCATGAGTTTTCTCCAGGAATGCCCTGAAAGCCTCAATGCTGTCCTTGTTGTCTAAGTCTAACTGATGAAAAAGCGGTTTAACACCTTCTTTTTCAAGTTCTTGAACTGCTTGCTGGCCACGCCCTGTGTCTCGAGCTAAAAAAATAAAAAAGTAAATAAATAAATCACACTAAATAAAATCATGTTATGAATATAATCAGGAATGCAGCTTGAAAATTATCTCCCTATTCAAAAGCAATCACATAATTTCATTTGATCTTTTATATTTCAAAATAATAAAAAATACAAATTCATTCCACATTTATTCTAGGATTTTGGACAAATACATCATTTTACACGCGTACCTGTCAAATAAACAATCCACTCGGGGTGTTGTTTGCAAAGAGTCTTCACAATCGCACGCCCTATGCCTTTGTTACTGCCCGTCACCTGCGAAGATTTAAAAAAATGCGACCCTTTTTTAAACAAACGGACTAAGTTGTTTAGTACTCTAGTGGATCGCAGACTTATAACTACAGATTCACGAACTAGAGGGAAAATAGTGAGCAATAGATTTTAATTGATGTAATTAGAACAGAAAGAACCAGTATATTCAACTGATGTGAGTTAGGCCTCTGTATGTGCACGGTGTGATTGTTTAATCAATTTCAGAAATTTGCTGAGTCATTCCACAATTTTCTAGACTCATTGACCATTAAGTGCACTGCGTGTATGTATCTAAGGCGGGTCCAGGGCAGAGGCAACTTAAATTATACAATATGTTTGCCCCCTTTCGCACTCCTCCAGCAAAATACTTGAAATGAGTGAGAAAAACTTTTGGGGGTTCATCAACTCATTGCTTTTAAAAGGTACACGTCTGTACGCATTTGAAAATCCCTTAAGGGTGCTTTCCCAGAGATTTAGATCGATCTAAAGATTAAGATTTAGATCGACCTAACTCCCTTGGGGTTCACGCTAAATTGCAGTCAGCCGAGCGGCACCATAGTTAATTACCCCCTTACAGCTTTAAGTAGGCGGGACAGACGCCGGCCAAGCTGACAGTAAGCTAGTGAGACTCCCCACTGGGATAGATCGATCTAAAAATCTATGGAAATGGGGTGTAAGTCATAATGTTTATGTGTACATACGGTGTTTCCTGCAAAGCTAATAATTTTTCTTAATTCAGACTTACGAGTAAAATTCTATAAAATCCCTCAAATCAAAGTAGGCTACCTGACGAAATATAATATAAATATAGGGAGGCATATCATATTAAATGACTGGCATGCAGCCATTTAGAGGTATTAAATGGAATAAAACATCGAATCAAAGCGCGGGGACAGGCCAAGCATTGACCGGCGAGCAGGAGAAAATTTTCCACTGTTTTCGGCCTCACAAGCTAGGTAGTTAATTATTGAGGCAATATTTAAGTGGATTTCTTGGACGTTGTTCAACGATACCTACAGGTATACATTTAGTTAGGATCCTAGAGTCCAGAGACAAAACCTACCAATTTACACACGTGCCACAGGTAGGGCCTATTTTGATCAGGTGGACTTAACTCGGTTGACTTAGGTATGAGTTTATTACCACCCCCCCCCCACCCACACACACACACATGCTGTACTCACCACTGCAACTCTCGGCGAAGCCATGGTTTTTAGCTGACTATCTAGTGTGTCACGACCGCTACAATACTGGTCACTTGTTGTACAACCGCCGTGTTTGCTCAACACGGCGACCTGGATTTTGACCTAATTCCCGGTATATAGATATTGAGTCTATTATACTAGCCCTTCACAGTATAAGCCAGTACTGTATGCCCTTTAAGTACGAATAATGGCCGGGTTATCTCAAATGACTGGTAATATACTTATTCCGCATTCCCTCAGTCACGTGCCACGTGCGCGTTTTTGGTCTAAGACTGCGATGGTGTTTGTGCACTAGTTCTGTATCCTCTAGATTTATAGATTTTTGTTTTTTTTTCTACCAAGTACGAGCAGAATACAATATTCAAATACATGTAAATGTAGTAGCACTGACAAAACAAAAATTACGTTGCACATATAATTTAATCATTGGGCCTTTCCAGCTCCGACTGCCAAAGTGACAGATTGATTTTTCACTAGATATTCACAAATGCTGGGGGCCTGCATCAGGGGGCTTATTCATGACATATGAAATAAATCTCCACAATTTATCACGCTGCGACTTTAGTGTTATAACGATTTTATTTATGTTTACCTATCCGTGTTCTGTAGTATTTCATCATCATCATCATTGCTCTTCGTCCCGCGTGGGACATAAGGCCACTCTGTAGTATTTATACCTTTAATATTATGGTTTAGAGCTAGCATGTTCACCTCATGCATTACAGTAGCATGTACACCTGATAAACTAAATATAGTTAGACCGCACCATCTTCAAGCATCCAAAAGATAGACGTTATATAAGAAAGTAAATGATAGGCAAATCTTCCCTAGAACTTGATACACTGCAGTATTTTCCATCGCGAACAACAACAAAACAGTGATGATATTAGTAAAGTTGGGTCCACACATGCATTTTTTTAAATTGCGCTAGAGACTTGAAGTTTACACGCAGACAGACAAATACAGGGTGACAAAAATTTCGTTATTATGTCCGAGAGATAACTGAGAATTTGGGGATCGATCATAGACATACTTTTTTGAAATCTGATGGACCTTTGTAGGATTTAATATTCTATTTATTTATTACTTCATTGAGTCCAACATTTTTTCAAATTTCTGCTTACGGCCAAGATAAAACCTAAACGAAAAATAAATAACAACAATGATAATTGATAAGACATATTTCTTCTATCAAAACCAATGTTAAAAAAGTATACTGTTTAAAAACAATTGTAATATATCTAGAGTGCCTTGCGATAAAATATGCTTGCTAAAAGCACTACGTTGTTTCATTTGAATCTATAAAATCATATGTCAATATATTGCTGATTATTTTTTTTCAAAAAAGGGAAATAATAAATAAATACAATAAGTCTTCCAATATGAATTCGGTCCTCTCCCATCCAAAAGAGGGATGTTTCATTAATACCACGTTAATGTTATTTAAAAAGACAATAGGAATAATTGCAGCCAAAAATGACACAGTTTACATAAATATGCTATTTGATAAGGAATGTAAGACTGAGGGGATCCCTTCATGAAATGAATATGCACTATAACGTATCCATGCCGGTCAAATGGCTTTTTATGTTTTTTTCAAGAGCTGAGATTGTACTCAAAATAACTAAAACGTCAAAGAGTACTAGTTGCTGTACATGTTCGTCACTTCTACTCCTTTTTTTAAATCCCTGCCATGGCTATTATTCCTGGTCTGTGTACGCATTTTGTTTTCCAAATATAAACAGCAAATTCCAGATAATTATGAAAAATGTCTCCTTTTTTATTTGTTATTCCTAAAACTCCTAAGCTAAAGCAAAAATTGTAGATTGGCAGAAGTCCATGGGGACGGGTGTTCTACTGCCATGGTTGAACTTTGCGGTCGCTCACTAATTTCCCGCGTGGCTCTTTCGTATTTGGAGGTAATGTTACGCAGTAGACAATGGAGTCGGCTCCTGGAAAAAAAAATAATAAAATCAGATGTCCAAAGTCAATATATTTTAAATGGGGGATATAAATCGTGAAGCTGATTCCAGGTTGCTTTACTTTCGTACACATTTATTGATACATGTACCTACCTAGCTCACAACAGACTAATATAATTCTTAAAGTTAAAGGCAAATACTTTAGTGAAAGAGTTTTTTTTTCTAAAAAATAAAAGTCAGCAATATCTCCTATTTCTTCAAGACATACCTTATCAAATGCCCATGACAAATTTAAAGTATGCATGTAGGCCAATATATACCCATTCTCTAACATTTACCTGTTACTTCTAATTTTTAATTTTTACTGTTACAAAATAAATAAATAAATAAATAAATAAATAAAAATAAAAATAAAATAAAAAAAAAAAAAATAAAAAATAAAATAAAAAATCATCAGTCTCCTCCATTACAAGAGTTAGTCAAAAATTTGGAATTTAGAAATGAAAAATCGGTAAATCGATCTTGATTATCCAAAGGATTTCAGATAGGATGCACCTCGGTCGTTAAGCAGAAATCGCTGACATGTCCACTTTAAGCGTGTTTTGACTATATACATGTATAGTTCTAAGGCGTATGGAAAGCTTTCTAAAGACCAACGGTTGACTTAATGTACAAGTACCTTCTGTGGGTGTCTTTTTGCCCTTGTTGCCGGTCATGTCGGTTTGCACCCAACCCGGGTCAACCTGGAAATGATAGAACTGCTTCCTTAGACCGTATATCAAGAAAATAAAAAAATTCAGACAAATAAATGTTTGACATCCTTCTGCCCCCCTCCGACACCCTGAATTTGGATTACACTTCAAAAAGAGCCAGTGTTATACACATTGCATATCGCGATGTAAACCTGCACCAGTGGCGTCAATATCTGGTTGATTTGTCTCCGTCTAACCTCTAAAGTGATTACCCTCTACCAGGGCGACTGATAGATTTTTTACAGATACTCACAGATATGTCTCTAGCTAGATAGATGGTCATTTTGAGCTGAAGGGTGACTTCATCCCAAAATGACCATCTATCTAGCTAGAGACATATCTGTGAATATCTGTAAAAATCTATTAGTCGCCCTGGTAGAGGGTATAAAGTGATCAAGATGCACATTTAAAAATGTCTATACATGGCACGATATCATCATGTAATCACCTCATATTTAAAGACCCAAGACAGTTGCGTTCCCCCGTAAAACTAAATGCTTATAACTTACGGCGTTAACAATTATGTTTCTCGAGTCCTTGTCGAGAGCCTCCTGCTGGATAATCGTCATGCACGTGACTCCAACCTTAGTGACGCCGTAAGCCCAATCAGGCCAGCCATTCTCCGTGTGCTTTCCAACTTTTGCTAGCCTGGAAAAAGGACATTTTTTTTTTTCAGTTTGACTTACAGGCAAGGCAAATCAGACCTACAAAACAAAGGTCCTTCAACAGGGAGCGTTAGAACGAGTTTTAACGACTTAGCTTAAGCATACCAACTCCGAGGACCACGGGGACTCTCGCTGAATGCAATCCGGTTTACAGACTTTACATGCCTCCTTCGTTGCCTCCTGACGTTGAGTAGAATACAGAAAAGTTGGTGATTTAACGAGAACGAATTGGAAACAAGGGGAGGCTTGTAAGTCTGTTAGTCTGGTTGTATTCAGCAAGAGTCCTCGTGGAGTTAGCGTGCATTAGCTATAACAACCTAACTCATTCTGAACGACTCCATAGTCACAGTAGGATTGATCCGCAAGCAGCGGGAATTACCGAGCGTTGTAAAACGCCTATTGGAGCCAATCGTGAGGGCGACCAGTGATTTGAAACTCGTTACTTACTCCACAAAATCTTTCATCAGTGCAGATAGCTGATCCATGGTGAGTTTTGATGTGAATTTTTTCTTGAGTTCAGCGCTCATTTTGCTCAGTGCCATTTGGCTGACGAAGCTGGACACGTTGACCACCCTGGAAAGCAAGCGGGAATATGTGATCAAGCTGGAAATCTGTGTACTGAAGTGGTGGNAAAATCTTTCATCAGTGCAGATAGCTGATCCATGGTGAGTTTTGATGTGAATTTTTTCTTGAGTTCAGCGCTCATTTTGCTCAGTGCCATTTGGCTGACGAAGCTGGACACGTTGACCACCCTGGAAAGCAAGCGGGAATATGTGATCAAGCTGGAAATCTGTGTACTGAAGTGGTGGGAATTCTTATCTATTTCAAAACTCAAATTGAGTATTAATTCAGTTAGACTGTATCCAAACTTATTACACGGCGCGCTTTGGAAAAAAAAACGGATAACAAACCCTGACACTTTTATTTGTACATCATCAAAATTTCAATATTTTAATAAAATATTAAAACAGTACAGCACTGCAACATACTTCAGAAGACCGCTAGCTTTGACGTACGTACAACCCAAAACGAAACTTTGTATACTACAAAACAAACTTCGGTCAATTAAAGGGAATGTTATTTTGAATAAGAGCACAACGCCTCTCTCTCTCTCTCTCTCTCTCTCTCTCTCTCAGTACCTTGCATGGGGCCTCAGAAGAGGAAACAAGCTATCGCAAACATTAAGCATGGCAGTATAGTTCGTTGCCATTGACACTTCTGCTTGTTCGGCGAATGAAGCCGTGGAACTAGCCTGTAAAAAGAATAAAACGCACTTAATTTCGTTTTTGTTCTTAAGAGTCTTAAGAGTTTTTGTTCTTAATTTTTGCATTTGACCAATTGTATTGTCATGGTAGAACAGTAATTGCCAGTCGCCAGTCACACATTTAAGTTAAACTTCGAATGTCACTGCGTTGACATCGCGCGACGCAGGGTTACGGTTACATTATTCTGTTGGTGTGTAATAACTTGTATATATAATGTCTTCTGCACAAAAAAAATCTCCTTGGTCAACTCATGAGCATATTCAAAAAGCGGCACCTTAAACAACTTCTACAGGTGTAGAGTACAATGTCATGTACAGAAGAGGCTTGCTCCGGAACCCTTTAATCAACACCGGTTGGGTGATGACGTACATATGTAGTTATCGTGCAGAAAATGTGCACATTTAGTGAATAGCTAAAACTACATTGTTTAGTGTTCGTTGAATGTTTAGTGTAAATAATATATGGTCCCAGAAAGGGAGGGCAGTGGCGGGTTTAGAGGGGAGGGGAGGCAAGAGGGTCCTGATTCCCCCTTCAGTTTCTGAAAAATATATCACACTAATATTCCCCTCTTGAAATTAGAATTTTGACTAGCTAAATCATAGTTCTAAACCGTACCAAAGGGTACAGTTTGCTCTCCAGAAAACCAAAAAAAAAGTATATGAGTATATGAGTATATGAAGGCATCACCACCGCGTTTATTGAACATTCGTGAACACTTTCAGTAACAACCTCTCACCTAAAATGAGCTATACCTGTTGTTATTTGCATAACAACAAGTTGTTCATCGTAGTGCGGGCTGTCTTCCCGAATGCTCACTTGGCAGTTAGACAGAGTCGGGTGTAGATGCAACAGTATGTGTGGTGCAGTCAGAAGGTCGAGCTTTTATAAGGCGTGGAAGCAAATGTATGTTGGTGAGGACATATGTCACTATTTCTTTACATATTTCGATACACGTTTTACACAGCCTGTCGTCTCCATTGCGCCGTGTGTTGTCCATCCATTACACGGTTCACTGTATGAAAACTTATTATATATATTTGTTATAATTTTCGAAGAGAATTTGTAAACGATCTCTTTCTCTGAAATGCGTCAACATGTACTACAACACGTTTTAAAACTTTTAATATCAAGAGGAATGTATTAACGGTTGTAGCAATAACCTCACCCACCCTGCAAATGAAACGGCTTGTGCTATCAATGCTACTTTTTTTAACTAGATCATTATTTTGGTTTTGCGGTAGCTCAGTCTGAACATCAGACTAGTTAATAAACGTGCACGCCATTCCATTTATATGTGCCCTCTGCCCTGTGATATTACCGGCATCATTAGAATGTAGACAGCCTGTCTATTTAGTTCAANTCCCAGAAAGGGAGGGCAGTGGCGGGTTTAGAGGGGAGGGGAGGCAAGAGGGTCCTGATTCCCCCTTCAGTTTCTGAAAAATATATCACACTAATATTCCCCTCTTGAAATTAGAATTTTGACTAGCTAAATCATAGTTCTAAACCGTACCAAAGGGTACAGTTTGCTCTCCAGAAAACCAAAATAATAAAAAAAAAAAATCGGCCTTGTAGAGTATCGTATGTGACATCCAATATTTGCACGACTTTGAGTATATGAAGGCATCACCACCGCGTTTATTGAACATTCGTGAACACTTTCAGTAACAACCTCTCACCTAAAATGAGCTATACCTGTTGTTATTTGCATAACAACAAGTTGTTCATCGTAGTGCGGGCTGTCTTCCCGAATGCTCACTTGGCAGTTAGACAGAGTCGGGTGTAGATGCAACAGTATGTGTGGTGCAGTCAGAAGGTCGAGCTTTTATAAGGCGTGGAAGCAAATGTATGTTGGTGAGTACATATATCACTATTTCTTTACATATTTCCATACACGTTTTACACAGCCTGTCGTCTCCATTGCGCTGTGTGTTGTCCATCCATTACACGGTTCACTGTATGAAAACTTATTATATATATGTTATAATTTTCGAAGAGAATTTGTAAACGATCTCTTTCTCTGAAATGCGTCAACATGTACTACAACACGTTTTAAAACTTTTAATATCAAGAGGAATGTATTAACGGTTGTAGCAATAACCTCACCCACCCTGCAAATGAAACGGCTTGTGCTATCAATGCTACTTTTTTTAACTAGATCATTATTTTGGTTTTGCGGTAGCTCAGTCTGAACATCATACTAGTTAATAAACGTGCACGCCATTCCATTTATATGTGCCCTCTGCCCTGTGATATTACCGGCATCATTAGAATGTAGACAGCCTGTCTATTTAGTTCATAGTTGTAAACATTATTTTATCTTTTCAGGAGCACAACGAGATTCTGAACAGCATCCGCCTGAAAACAACCTATGAAGTCTATAGCCTTTGCTTCACTCACAGGAACCCACGCTCAATAAAATTCAATAAAACTCAATAAATTTTTTTGTGATTTGGCGTTTTATTTTTCACTTTGTTATGAAATGGAAAATGGGTTATTTTTAGTTTTTGAGGATTTTCAAATTCAAGCTGATCTGTAAATAATGTCAATGTTTTTATGGTTGACGGTTTTCTGTGGCACCTAAATATTAAATAGTTGTAAAATGACCAGTAATATGACCAGAAATAAAACATCTAATATGGTTTCCAACAACCTACATTTTATAGTTCAAATTCATAAAAAAATTACAATCCTGGTTTTTAGAAAATTCACATGTGATTTTTGTTCTATAGTATATGAAATTAATTCGTTTGGATGCAATTTTTCCTATATTTCCTCATATAGGGAGGGTCCCATTTTGACGGGTTTTGGCTTTTGCTATCGTGAATTGTTTTAATTTGGCGGCCTATTCTTGGTATAAATACTTACAGGTAATTTGATATTTGAATGTAATAATGAAAATGTGGGATGATTCTGATGTAAGCTTAAATAAAGTTAGTTTTAATGGATACGACTGAAATTGGCCAAAAATTTTGATATCTGAAGTAACAGAACAACTTCTTCAGTTCCTGTTCTCTGAACCAAATTGGGATAATTACAAGACTCGTCCCACCTGTCACCCCTTCTTATGCAATGAATTTATCTCACCTGTCACCCCTCTAATTTAATGGACTGGCCCCACCTCTCACCCCTCTAATGCACTAGACCTGCCCCACCTGTCACCCCTCTAACTCAATGGACTCGCCCCACCTGTCATCCCTTCTATTG